CCTTTGTGACTTTATTCCTTTTAATTACAGAGTTTATTACAATGTAGATGTGCAGCCATCCTTTTCTTTTGTATTTTTTTCTTTAAAAAGTGAAATATTAAAAAATTAACAGCAGATTATAGAATTTGTAGAAAGAAGAATAGCTGTCTTCCAATCACAGAAAGTGGATGTGCACTTTGAGCAGCCATTTTTACCAGAGGTTTTCTCGAATGGTTTATCTCAAATTGGAGGAAAGATTATATGCTTTACTTTACAAAGTGCTGAGCCCTTGGACCATGAACCTTTGTTGCCTCTGGCTTCTGGGCATGTTGGAACTGCATGACTTTGCCAGAGCGGAGCACTACATCTCAAGTGACAGTCAGCCAGACAGTGAACATCCAGAAGAATTAATATTAAAGTTCAAAGGAAGAGTAGAGCACTACATCCCATGTGGTAGTCAGCCAGGCCGTGAACATCCAGGAGAATTAATATTTAAGTTAATAGAAAGCAACTAGAACCAAAGTATGCTACCCACTCGTGTCTGTAATTTTGTAAACCCACCATTGAAACTCTCTCTTTAGGAAAACAACCTATTGAACCATTTTACTGAAGCCACTACAAAAAAGTTCAGGCAAAGGGTTGCCCTAGTTTGACCAGTTTTCTCTTTAAGTATTTTTTATTTTTATTTATTTATTTATTTATTATTTTTAATTTTAGGTTAAATTGTCTGTATCGTATTTGTTTTTGTTACAATTTTGTTTTTCCAAGATTATTTCATCGGTTCAAACTTGATTATAATGAACTAGTACATCTAACCTACTGACATATTTGTAAAATCAGTTTTTATTTTGCTGAGAAATTGCTGTATGGCCTCATTAAGTGAATTTTTTTTTGGCTAGGGGCTTCTTAATGAATACTACGTACTTTTTAATATAGGAAATATCAAATTCAGAAGGTGTTTTAAATCAATACAGTGAAACTCTGTTTGGTTCCTTTGTCCCCTTGTTTCCTACCTCCACCTCTACCTTTATCCTTTTTAATGTTTTTTAGCTTCATGCTACCATTGCAACTTCATGTTTGATCTCCTTTCTTGTTTCAGTTGTTCTCTCTTCTTCTTCTTCTTTTTTTTTTTTTTTTTTTGAATAAATTATTCTTTCTTCTAAGTCTTGTAGACTACTTAAAATTTATCAGATTTTTGAAAAAGTATTCCTGGCTTCAAATTACTCTGGATTGAACCTATTTCTTTAAATTTTAAAAGTTATTTCATTTAGTTTTCTCTAAACTAAAGAACAACTTTTAGAAGCAGGAAAAGGGGGTGTGTATTCCTTCTATCGTGTGTCCAGGCTTGAGAAGATTGTAATATCTTAGCTTCTGTCCTTAAATTTTGAATTTTATCTTAAACAACTCTCTTTTTCTTCACAAATTTTCATCACCATCTACTTAGTATTAGCAAGTGGGGGATGGTATTGAGTGGTACTGGATATTTATAAAGAACAACAAGTTTGGGGATGAGATTGCATTACTATGAACATTAGGATGTTACTTTCCTTGATGAATTACCCTTAAATTAATAATCCCCATTACCGTTACTTATAACCAGCTACCAAACATGCTGTTAGAGTTCAGACATGATTGAGATTGATTACCTTTTCTCTTTCCTTTCTTCAAGTGATTTTCGAATTGTTTGAATTGGGAGTTTAGCAATCATATGCTATGAAACAGTTTCTTGTCTATTAAAATTGCTACTATCATCTAACTCGTCACTTAAGATCATACTCCATCTTAGTAACATGAGATTTGAGCTAGAAGAAGATATAAACACGCGTATCACATTCCAGACCTTTATTTTGTTGTGCTATTATTCCTATAGTCGGTGTTAACCTTCATTGTGCTCCTCTTTGTTTCAGGAAGCCCGTTAAAGCTGCGATTGCTGCTGCTTCTGAACATTTAGCTGGTTTGCTACCTCATCATCTCGTCTATAGTCATGCCCATGAAACTGCTATTGAGGTATGCAGGGTGCTTGTTAAACCATGGTGTTAATTGGTTGACATTTTCTTCATATCTGATGTTTCATTTGAAGCATTTAAAGGTTGCTTGTAAATTAAGTTTATGAGTTTTTTTAAGCCACACCTCATTATATAGGTCTGAATCATATAAGTGTTGCTTAAGCTGTTAAAAATCCAAATAGCTGTTTTGTTTTCAGGTTCCTATTGATTCCTTTCTTAAAAATATTATGTCCATCCTGCTTTCTGGTGTCATTGGTTTTCTGGATGATTCCCTTTACATGTATAAATCATTAAATAGCTGCTCTTTGTTATGGTATAGGCTTGTGGATCTCTCTCTCTCCCCCTCTATATTTGCTTAAAATTGTAGTAGTACGCTTTGCTGCACTTCTTGATCTTATACATCTAAGGGAGCACTTGGTTTGTAGGGTGGAATGAGTTTGGAATCAGGAATGAGATCAGACTTTTATGGAGTTGGAACTTGATGCTTAATACCATGTGTTTGGTTTTGTTTGGGAATGAACAGTTTTCTTTTATTTGTTACCTGAAGGTATGGTATGAGCCATACCCACATTCCCCCTAGGTTTCTAAACGGCTAAACCCCGTACCTTGTGGGTTTGAGGTATGGGTTTTAAAATTGGTATTTTTGTTAACAAACACAAGGTATAGGATTTACCCATTCTAAACACATACCTAAACCCCTAAAGGAGTGCTGTTATGCTTTACTTTTGTTAGCTGATGGAGATGTTCTTGGGCAGTTTAAACAAAAAAAATACTTGGTCTGTTATTTATTTTAAGATAAACTAGCCCTTGCTTTATGGAGTAAAATCAATCACAATCATGACTATGACTTATGGGCTCTTGCTTTCTTGATGATACAATTTGATGACATGATTTTGTATGAATGATTGTTCTACACTTCTGCTAATGACGTTTGTAATTCATGTGCATAGGATTGGTTATGGTCCATGGGATGCAACCCTCTTTCGATCACTTCTCAAGGCTGGAGAATTTCTCAATTTCACTCGGATACCATAGCCAGGAGCTATATTATCACAAGTCTTGAAGAATCTATCCAGCTTGTGAACTCAGCTATTCACCGTCTGGCCTTTGAACAGACTAGTATCCTTGAATTTTCAGTTAACAAATCCTTTCGAAAGGCTATGAATAATATTGCTCAGTTGTTCCATTTGTTTTGTATGCTAGATATTTGATTCACCCCCTCCCCCCTCCCCTCTCTCTCTATGTGATCCATTTATGTGATATATTCAGTGAAGGGTTTTAGAAATTGATATATTCAGTGATAGTGTTTATGAGACTTAATGACAGAATTGATGGGTATCAAAAATTGATGTTGCCATAAAAAAGAGACTTGATAATGCTACTCTTTATTGACTTGCCTACTTTGATATTTGTACTTTGTGGTATAACGTATGAGGCCTATATTTGTTCGTATGGAAAGTCTATCCTGGTGTGAACTTGACTACAAACAGCTCAAAAATCGTTCAAGCTTTTTCAGTCCCAGGAGCGGGAGTTAGTGAACAAGTATAATTTTGCTGTTGGCTTGTGGAAAAGAGTGAGTGGCTGAAGTTATTTGTATTCTCATCAACACTGGCCTTGAATATCTAAGCTTGTGCTGATCAAATATTCTTTCAGATTGCTACTGTTACCGGAGAGTTGCGTTACACTGATGCATTAAAGCTTCTGAACACCTTGGACGACGCATCAAGAGGGTAAGGCATACGAGAAAAATAGATTGCTGATAGGGGAATAGTCCATTCTGTTTATAGATATCTAGGCTGCATACGTTAAATATATACTGTCTTGAACTCTTGACTGCTTTTACTTCTAGCAAACATTGAATATGTTTCTGTATTCATAGTACATGTTTTATTTTGATAAAAAGACGTGATAATATGACATAAGTTTAATATGTATACAATGGCCAAGTAATTCTTAATTTCATAAATATCATCCCTTACCTTAATTACCACTATCACCTTTAATTACCTTTAATTACCGTTGCAAAACGATGCCCTATTACTACCTGTGATGCATTCTAGATAATTAGTAGATACTATGGCGGCTTGTGTTGAGAATGAAAGATGCTCTAGTCTTTTGCTATTTTCTTGATAAAATGATGAACATGGCAACTAGATGGTACCAAATTACAAAGGTCTGGAATTTTCGTGCTTGCTTTAGTTTACTTGCCTTAGTCTTGTCTGTTTCTGGTTATGTGAAACTTTTACCAACACCTGTTTCTTGCCTTTCGTTTCTGAGCTGAGATTTGTTCCTGTTCGAGATGTAGAAATTATTTTTTTTAGTTTGTGATTCATTGATATTCATTTCTTCTGTGCAAGATGGTAAAAAAAAGTTACTGAAGTTTGCTTTCATTCTTGTAGATTTGCAGAGAAAGTGAATACTACTGTGGCGTTGCTCCATCCAATACACTGCACAAGAGAGCAGAAGGTTGAGGTTGTGTTTGACATGACAACTATTCCAGCTTTCTTGGTTGTCTTCTTTATCCTTTGGTTGGTTCTAAAACCCAAGCGATCAAAGCCGAAGATCAACTAATTTATGTAGCAGCATAGTTTTGGGGGAAGTTAATGTCTGTGGTAGTTATAGAAACCGTGTTGTTTATACAGAATTTTGTAGAGCGGCAATTGATGCAAATGTAAGTAAAAAAAAATTGTCTAGAGCATTTTCTCTCTTAATTTATGAACGCAGCAGCTCCATTTATTCCTTGAGGAACTTCCTATCTCCTCAAGCGTAATTGGGAAAAAAAAAAAAAAAAAAAATTGTGCAGTATACTAATTACTCCATTCTTAAGTCTCAAGAATGTGTTCTCATTTGTTATTCCTAACTTGAACGTATAAGTTACGATCTCCTGATTTGAATTAACCAAAACAAACGGAACCTATAAAGTAAAGGATATAGATGATTGAAAGATAGAAGCAATTGGTGAATGCAAGAAGAAATTTTATACGTTAGCTCTCAAATTTGGATACAAAAAACCAGCTTTTCATGCGCTATCATGCATATAAACCCTTTTGGTTTGTTATCAACTTCCTATCTCCTTTTTGTTGTTGTTTTTAAGCCTCAACGTCATTTATTTCAATATTAAAATATTTCTATGAATTTTACATGTCACTCAATTCTTGTTTAACATGTTAAATTAATTTATGCTATATTACAATTTAGTTTTTCTAACCACCCACACTCTCATATGTCATTGTCTTACAGGCCGAGAAGTTTCCCTTACATACACCCACACTCTCAAATTTTCTATTTCTTTTTTTCTTATTCTTTTAAGTTAAGCTAGTATGTCAACCAAGATGGAGAATTTCTCCACAGATATTGTCAATACCGGAGTTGAGAATGAAGGTCCTTATGCAGGGTCCCTTAATTTTTCAGTTAGGGTTCGACGAGGTTTACCCAACTTTCTTAACTCGGTGAATCTTAAATATGTGAAGCTTGGATACCAGTATTTGATTAGCCATGGTTTGTACATTGTCACCGCGCCACTTTTAGCCTTAATCGTTGGTGCCCATCTAGGAAAACTCATATGGGATGACTATGACCACAACTATGATTTTTCTAGTTCCATTTTATTTCTAGGTCTTCTTTACTTGGTTGATTTTACCTATAATTTCCTTCTTCCAAGACCTACCTACTTAATTGATTTTGCTTGTTATTCACCACCAAAGGAGCTTAAGGTGAATAATATTGTTGTATTGCTCACATTATAATGTAATTTCTTCTATGCTATTATAATATTTGACAATCATCTACTAATCATGAATAAAATTGTAACTATCATGACAGGTTTCAAAGAAGGAGTTCATTGACTTGGCTAGAAAATCAGGCAACTTTGATGAAAAAACATTAGGGTTTCAAGAAAAAGCCCTAAAATATTCTGGCATTGGAGATGAAACATGTTTGCCTAAGGCAATATTTCAGCCTGGATTCAAGAGATCTCTCAAGCAATCTAGAGAAGAAGCAGCAACGGTTATTTTCGGAGCTATTGATGATCTCTTCGCAACTACAAAAATCAATCCAAGAGACATTTCTATACTCATTGTAAATTGTACTACACTTAACACTACACCATCTCTTTCTGCTATGGTAATTAACCATTACAAGCTTAAGCATAATGTTCAAAGCTTTAATCTTGGTGGTATGGGTTGTGCTGCCGGAGGTGTGGCCATTGACATGGCTCAAGACCTCTTGAATGTTTATCCAGGCTCATACGCGCTTGTTGTTAGCACGGAGATCATTAGCCATTCTTGGTATACAGGAAAAGAACTAGATATGGTGCTCCCAAATTGCTTCCTTAGGATTGGAGGTGCTGCTATGCTGCTCTCAAATCGTCGCCTTGATCGTTGGAGGGCCAAGTATGAGTTGAAACAGGTAAATATCTCTATATATCCATCATCACCTTACTCTAAATATCATGAAGATTTAATGTATTTGCTATGAAACAACATGGTCTCATGCATATACTCACACAATTTGATTTTTTTAGTACATATTGTATTGACTTTTTTTATTATATTGTTTCAACCTTACTTTAGGCAAGGATGTGTTAAAACCTTAGGCAAGGATATGCTAAAACCGTACAAAAATGTATGTTATTCTATGTTCTTCCCAAGTCCAATCCTATTGCTTAAAAAAAAAAAGGGCATTTTCAATTATAAACCATTAGACCAGGTATGTTGATAATATTTAAACATTTTTAAAATAAATAATGTGTGACTATAAATTTTCATATTATGAACAACGTAACGTTCAAGTGACATATTTTCATAGAGCATTCATGATTCATTATAACTAACAACCAATGATCTTATTGGCCAAGAACCAATCAATATGATTCAATGTTAACAATTTGTTCCTTTTCTCCTTTTTTTTTTTTTTTTTTTGATTTTTTATTGGTTCTTCCTATGCGCTCGGTAGGTTGTTCGCACTAATAAAGGCATGGACAATAGGAGCTTCAAGAGCATATACTTGAAAGAAGACGCCGAAGGGCAGCTAGGCATCTCAGTAAGCAAAGATGTGTTAGAAGTTGGTGGAAATGCAGTCAAGGCTAACATCACCACCCTAGGGCCACTAGTCCTACCATTCACCGAACAATTTCAATTCTTCACCACTTTGCTACGTAACAAAACCTCGTCTAGGCCTTACATACCGAACTTCAAGCAAGCATTTGATCATTTTTGCATCATTGCAACAAGCAAGAAAGTGCTCGATGAATTCGAGAAGAACTTAGAGCTCACGACGGAGTACATGGAACCATCAAGGAGAACATTGGAGAGATTTGGTAACACTTCTAGTAGTAGTGTTTGGTATGAGTTAGCTTATTTGGAAGCTAATAAAAAGATGAAAAGAGGTGATAGAGTTTGGCAAATAAGTTTTGGATCTGGTATTAAGTGCAATAGTCTTGTGTGGAGGGCTCTTAGGAACATTGAAAGGCCTAACAAGAGTCCATGGTTTGATCAAGAAGACTCCATTTAAAAAGTTTTATTGCAAAGATAGAATAAAATGGAGAATGTATACAAATGGTGTGATGAAAATTTGCATTATTTTTAAGAATACAATTATAAATTGGCATTTTTTTTCAAGTGTAATAAATTTAGAAATGGAACATAATTATTGTATTATTAGTACGTAAAGTTATTTATTTTTATCCATATATTATAGAAAATATGAAACATAAGTGTATAGCATGGAGTTTTATCTAATTTTCTTTGTTGGAACGCTGTGTACGCGTCAACCAACTTTAAAAACAATAATACTTACTCCCTTTATTCTATTATTAAGTGTCAGTATTCGTAATTCAGTGTAAAAAAATCACTTTTGTAAATGCGTCTATTCATATATTACGTGTATATATAAAGTATTTTGAATAATTTGTCCGTTTACATTGCTTAATTTATTCCTTAATTAAAGCATGTGCAAAGAAAGTTTGTTGCATTTAGAAGAAAACAGAGGAATTATAAAGTATATAATATAGATTAAAATGATTATATATACATACGAAATACAGTATAATTGTCAATACACATATTTAACTATTAATATATCTAATGATATTATAATAAAAAAAAAAAAAAAAAAATGTAAACAAAATTATAAGTACGAAAGGAACTAACTTGCTTTATAATTCAAGAGTGGTTTTATGTTTTCATCATAAAAACTTCTTTAGTGGGCCCTTTTTTCATTCCATATAATTCTCACAATTATCATCTTATAGTAGTATTATTTATTTATCAGTTTACGAGTTTTGATGTGGCTTTTCAACTATTACGAATATTCTTTTCATTAATGGTTATGTATTTGTATGATACATGTGGTTGCATAATCAAAATTTGGATAGTATACATATTTAAACAATTATGAATTTTAAGATGCTGTATATGTAAAATTAAATTAGTATATTAAATTGAAATACATGAGACAATTACATATGCATCAATTATGGGTACTTATCATATAGAAACAAGAAAAAATTTCAATAAATTTTTTTATATAGTAATGCAATTAGTTCTTGTTATATATACATACAACATTAAATTATATGTCTATTTAACTAATCAAATTTGTCATATTTCATAATTAATTCACAAGAAAATAATCATTTAATTCACACACACTCATTATTGTTTATCTGAACTTGGAATAACAAGAATCCTTAATTCCATTCAGTATGCATTTCACATCCTGTAATTGAAAAAGTCATAACGTTTCAATTCACTTATTTAAATACAGAGGGAGTATATTTTTTAGTTATTCCATATCCATTATACTCGTACATGTTGTCAAAAGTAAAACTTCCCACAAAACTTCCACATCTATGTACTATAATGAGATTTATGTCTAATGGAATATTTATTTTTCTAAACATTGATATTTGTCATGCATTAGCTCATGTATACTCCATCCCTACCTTATAAAAAGTATAACTAAACTCTTATGACTAATGCATGGACACTTATATCCCTAAAGAAGTTCTTTTACATATTTGCCCTCATTTGATTTCAAAAGTTGTGTTTATTTCAATATTTAATGCCATCTTTTACTCTCTCCATTTCTTTTTGTTTTTCTTATTTGGAATTTAAACAATATATAATACAAAGTATTAAAGAGACTCTAAATTAAATTAACATATATGGTGCACAAGAATTACAGAGTATATAATTGTGTCATATGTCTTGTTTAATTTATTCAGGTCGTCTCAATAAATACTTAAAATTTATTAGACATTTATATTTCTAGATTTAGATAGTTTTTTTACCACTCCCTCGTGAAATCAAAGTATCTCTACTAAGATTTCGAACATTACACATCTACACAACATCCAACACATTTATCACTTTATGCAAATAGTTGTAATACAATATCATGCAAATAGGCATAGGGTATAAAGGTCATCGGTAATAACTTTTTTCAAAGCTAGGCCTAGCCATACCGCGCACATCACGCGTGTTGGAATCCCTAATTAATATAAAGTTTTAAAGTTGAGCACCGTAAAATAAGAATGTAGACTAAAAGTCCAACACCAGTGCAAATTCAATAAAACTCGTGAGTATTGCATAAAGTCAACACGTGTCAACTAAAAAGATATAGAAAAAGTATGTTGGGAATAATTTAGAATAATCTTTGAAATTATGGAAAGTAGTCGGAGTATATAGGAACATAGAAAATTAGAGGAACAACAGTTGAGGCCAAAATTACATTCGTAATATCTCCATCCCAAAATTCCAATCAATTTTTTTTCCTAAAGTTGTATTTTCTTTCACTTTTACTTTATTTATTTATTTATTTATGATATCATTTTATTGTTATGGTTTATCATCTATTACCTACAAAGTGAGACCCAAGTAATTGAATTCCTTTACTTTCTGCCTCTTTTATCTATAAAGTAAATCTACAGGCATGAGTGATCTCATTTTCACCTTTACTTATTTCCTTTTTGTTACTACATAACATATAAATATATATAGTGGCACTCGTGAAAAAAAAATGGATTATTACTGTAACACCCCCAATTTACTAGCTAATAATAAATAAAAAATAAAGGAAAAATAAACAACCTTAAATAAAAACTGCGGAAGCATACACCTAAAAAAATCGGAGGTATTACCGCCACACTCAACAACTTGTCAAGTGTTAAGGCTTACAAAATCCCAATAATTACAACCCAATAAACTAGGTGAGCTATTATACAACTTTACAAACTTGTTATAAAATACTAATCGAAACACTTGAGCTCCTTTAGCTACGATCACTTGATTAACCTGCTTAGAAAAACTAGACTGCTCACCATTAAGGACAAATTCCAAAATAGATCGTCGCAGGGCCACCATAAAAAAAAAAAAAAGACATGGCCGCAAACACAAGTAGCACAACAAACAACACACATGCGTCAGCAAAAAGCTAGTAATCACCACATATCATAATATAAAGAATAATGGAAAAATTAGCATTATTAACTCAATTAAACAATGTAGTTCTAAACTACATTACACATTGTACTCTGAAAATAACCTTTGTCAAAACCAACCTCGAATAATAATACGGAACTTTACTCAATTAACTCATTTATCCCATAAGTGTGTCACGCTCTTTGTTTTATGCCTAGCCTTGGACATGAGTAATTCGAATAAATAAACCAACAAGTATAAAAACTTGAATACTCTAAATAACCAAAAAAACACCTCTAACCAGTCCACATACGGGCCAAATCCCATTGTAGGGGAACATAGAAAAATTTATAGATTGTACCTCATTCTTAACTTATGATTATCATCTCCTTACCAACATGCCAAGGACTAAGGTGATTAACATCGAGCCTCAAACCAAAAACAGAATAATAATTCTCAACCTTTTGATCTCATACATCGATCATATAACCATTCAAAAATTAATAAAATAGTATCTCAATAATGGCACGGGTTCCGAAATAATGTAACACGACATTTCCGGTTTATAAAATATCTCAACTCTTATTGGACAATAAAACTAGTTCCCAAATATAATTAACTCACAACTCAAAAATAATACTCTGCATTAATAACCCTAAAACCTCAATAAAATAATACTCTCTATAGCAACAACATTAAAAACCCTAGAAATAATAATAACACCATCAATCAATACAACAAAAATAATACGTTATTCAAAACCAATCAAATCATATAATACCATACTAATTTATCATATATATGTACAAGATTACAAATAATAAATTAAACAATTCACACATAATAATACGTAATATAATACAAACAACTCCAAAATAAGTTTCGTGTGATTACCTTCCGAAAACTTGAGATCGCACATTAACGCATATAGTGTACTCGCATAAAAAAAAAGCTTGAATTTTGTAAAGTAAGAGGATCATTATATGGTGGGAGTTTAATGTGTCAGAGCTCTTTTTAACAATGATTTGCCGAACGATAAACAAGTACTAGCAGGGAATAATCAACGGTGTTGTATATATAAGGAATTGAGAGGTTGAATTTGATGATTGAGACTCGTACAAAAATTGTCTTGAGTCATAGTTCTTCACTCACGGCGGCACATATGGCCACACATATATATATATATATATATATATATATATATATATATATATATAGGGTTTAAGATAATTTTTATAGGATAACAAAAATAGAGTATAAGAATTTATAAAATAATTTAAGATATCATATTTTATCCATAAAAATATTAGATAAAATCTTTAAATATTAGGATATAACAATTACATATATACTTGAAGGGACTTGTTATGATAAATATTATTTATAGTGCTAAATTTCTATGTAAATTTTATGAAATTTACCTATATTTGGTTACACTCCATAATCCATTCCAATTTAAAGTTACAATAATTACTAATGTTGATTTGCACATTTAATTAACCTATACTACTTAATTTGATCAATTCTTTCAGGATGATGATGATGAATGCACCTACGTAATTTTCGTACGTGCAAATGTAAAAATGGCAACAACGTATGCTAAAGTAAACCTTGAATTACGTGACAAATATTTCAATCGTTTAAACATCACAAACCTTCAATCTTGGGGGATTATGAGCAAATATCATTACTACTTTAGAAGAGGAAATTTGGATACCTTTGCTGTGAATGCTTAAAAGGCCCCCTTTGTAGCATGACATTAATTCATGATAACACCGGCGTATCTCCCGGTTGGTACGTGGACTATGTTGAAGTTACCTCTATTGCACCAAGTCGGGGTTGTCGGAAGATTAATTTTCCGGTTAATGAGTGGTTGGCCGTCGATGAGCCACCGTTTGGTATCGCTTGTCAGGGTGTGTATTTGTGTGATGAGATTGTTGGTGATGATGGTAAATGCTCCTAGCTAGAAGAGTGCTCCTCTAACTTGGTTATGCTACAATTATTTCAACTTGTAGTGCATTATTGCTTAGTTATTGATTGAGTTTTGCCCTTTGGCTTTTATTGAAATGTGACATGGAAATGAGAAATGTGTTGTATTGGCATATTTTTTTTTTTAATTTTAAGTGACTAGATTAATTAAGTTATGTGTCACAATAATTTTCTATTTTCACTGTTTATAACTCCTTATGTTCATTTTAATTTGTCACATTATGAATCCTCAATTTAAAAAGAGAAAATTTTACATATGGAAGATCTATGACCAATAATTAATTTACAATCTATGAGCTTTCATCTAAGAACTTACTGGATTAGATCTTGTTGTGTAGTTTTAAAACATTAATTCTTTCAATACATTTTTTTTAATAAAGCGTTGCTAAAATATATACT